AAACTATATATGCACATATGTGTGTATATATAGTATATATATTTTTTCAGTTGTGTCCAACTGTCCATGACCTCATTTGGGGTTTTCTTGGCAGAGATACTTCAATGGTTTGCCATTTCCTTCTCCAGCTCATTTTACAGATGAGGAACTGAGGCAAAAAGGGTTGCTCAGGGTCCCATAGCTAGTAAGAAATATACACACATACACAAAGAGCTTTAAAAAAATACTTTGAGTCTGAATAAAGCTGTATACACATCTCTATGATATCTTACATACATATAAAATGTTCATTTAGGACAAAAAGAGTTGGAATAAATAATTCCAACACCTAAAAGAAGATGAAATGTTTTTGGCAGTTTAAATTATGCAGCACATTATACCTAGTGCTTTTCTGGGTCTTAGGATCAGCTGTCACTTAGAATTTGTTTCTGGGGTTCGCAGTACACCTCCTAAAGCGCTGGGATCTTTTGTTTGTCTTAGGGAGGTTAAGGGATGTGGATATCAACATTGAGTGACTGCTAACTCATGCTTGATCATCCTTGGAGTTGGCATGTATAATGGAAAAAAAGGAAACCACAAAAATGTTTTTCATTTTAAATCAAAAGTTATGATTTTATTTTGAATATTAATATACCAGAAAAAAATAGTTCTTTTATGTCATGAAATATGCACTTGAAAATGGTAACAATCCTAACATCGCTCTGGTTTGTTCTATTAGGCTTACATGGATGGCTGAGCATTGATTACAGACTTCCTAAAAGCCTGTGTCTTCCAGCGGTTTTCAAGAAAGCAGCTGGAAGCATCCCGTGACAGCCTGGCCCATAGGAAGCAGACAGAGCCTAAGAAAGAGTAGGATCTCTTGCTAAGGCCCCTCAGCTTTTCATTAGGATTACCCCACTTTTTATGTACTAGGGAAAGACCAAAGTGATACAAAGAAGTGGGAAAACAATGTATTATAGGTATCAGCCTGCTAGTGAAGACCCACTCCCTAGCCCTAGCCAGCTTAGCCTGCTATCACATTTAAATAACCAATTTCTTTGAATGATACTTCAGGACAAACCCACTACAACGTGGTCCCTGATACCATGGATTTGGATTTACGTTTATAGCTATAGCATAGGGAGACCCATCTTCCTATACCTGAGCCTTGGCCCAGCAGGATGAGTTTACAAACTACCAACTTTGTAATTAATGCCTCGCCCCCTACACACTACAAATGTGTTTCCACTGTATCTACTTGGCTTTCTTTGATTGGAGAATACATGGTCTAATTATGCCATCCCATGAAATCCCCAGGGAGAAATGAGAAATAAGAAACCCAGAATTTGTGGTTTTTTTTTAATTCTTCTCCATCAACCTTGACCATTGAAAGGCATATGTATAAGAGGAAAGCAACCTGGTGAAATCACACCGGGCTTGTGGTCCCTCACCAGCCTTTGTATGGATGCACATCATCTTGCCATCTGACCTACAAGTTCTACCTTATGCCCCAAGTGCACTGATCATTTGAAGTCTGTTACACGTGGTATCTCAAGTAATGACCTGAAAGAAAACATTTTGTCTGCTCTCATGTTGCCATTTCCCTACAGTCCCTGGCCTCCATTTAGAAAGACTGCTGACTCAGCCACCTGTACGCCTTACATTACCCAGTGCTGATTGTCTACCATGTATAAAGAATTTTGTCCACATTCTCAGCCCTTATCCTCACTTAGGTTCTTATACATGGGGAGGTCCAGAACCAGCAGTTCTTAATTGGTCTTGCTTTTAAATGGATATTTTGGCCTGAAGTACAAGTTGGACAGCAACATAAATTCTAAAGAGCAGATGGATGGCCTCTAGGTTAAGGCTGTGGACAGTAACTGGCTCAAAGCATTAATGTAGGCAGTATCTTTTGGTCCAGAATGACAATCATATTTAGCATCACAAACAGAAAGAAAGCTGAGAAGTCATTTCTCCCCTCCCTCACTGAAAAGCTACGAGTTGTCATCAAGGCATTCTGACGTAAGAATTCTCATCAAGGTCGAAATCTTTTCAGCGAGATGGTGTCCCAACATCTCCATTCCACAGGAAGAAGGGTCTCAAGATAGAAAGGCAGACCTGGGTCAGGTCTCTACAATTCTGGCATTATTTACTCTTTTCAGCCAGCTGAATGAATGGTTAATTAGGATCACCTCACAAGTGAGCCAACCAATTCTCTAGAAGTCAACTGGTTAATTGGATAGGGAAAGAATGCTTACATTTACTTTGTGGCTGACTTGCGATACACCTCAGGTCTCTGGCCAGAAGGAGATAAGCAGCCCTCTGGCCATGGGGTTTTATCTTGTTAATTTAGTAGCCTGAGACAAAGGATCAGCCCGTGAGATTGTTTCTTCTACAGTGTGAATGACTCTTCGAGTACCTTTGCTCCCCTCCTGTAATAAATAGGGTTTTATCTTGTCACAGATCCGTCTAGTTTTTTAGTGAAACTCTATTGGTTCACTCCCTGAAAGTACTCTCCTAGGAAAATGGTCAATTTTACATTCGATCCCAGGAGACTCTTCTCTAATGAAGTATCTGACTCTTGGTCAAAGTCTACCGTAGCCAAGTGAAACGGAGAATTGAGATATCTAGATAATTCTGACCTTTCATTCCTTTTTTCCCCCTATTCCTCCTCCCTCTAGAGGGAGGGAAAAGGGAATTCTCCCCCTAAATATCCAGATAAGGCAAGAAAAACATGTTTGGGGCAACAGAATCATCAGAATAATTAGCTCAATTCTGTGAGATCTTGTTGCTATAGACTTGACATTGGAAGCAAATATCTGTAGGAGGTGCCATCTTTCTCTACTCTGTTAGAGAGCAAATCATTCAGTGGAAACTTTTTCCACAGCCTCATTGATTTATTGATTGATGATGTTCAACAATTTGAACATTGGGATTTCCTGGGATAGTACTCTGTGTCTCTTTCTTTGGGGATGCTTTCTTCAGACTGCGTTATCAGACAAGAATGCAATGAAAAAACTTCAATAGAAAGAGAATCTATTGCAGCATAGTGGGGCATCTACAAAAACATGCCTGCCCAAGGCTTTCCGGAATGTCGACTGAGAGCAGAATTATTAAGATGGCAGTCAATTTTCTGGTAGGTTTGAAGGATTTTCTTATGGATTGTATAATCCAGTTAACAACATAGTAAAATATTGCACTACCATATGAAATGATGGAACCTGCAGTATTTGAATCTGAGCAAAAGGAAGTGGGTTGTTTTTGATGCTAAATATTGGTGATCCACTTCAAGATATGTAGCCCATTTAAAAATTATTTGTTGGACATGGAACAGTGCACAAAAATTCAAAATAACTTCAAATGAATATGAATGCTAGTCCACACCCTAATAAAACTCTAGGAAATGCCAGCCTGGAAACCTCCTAATCTTTCACTGATTTTGACCAAGGATCAAATCATTAGTGATATAAGACACGGAATTAAGCATATTTTTGGCAGCAAACTGCTCATCAGTCCTTCAGTCAAAGCAAAATCACCTTTCATTTTGTATCCTTTCACCTACACACCCTTCTTTTCATTAATTTGCCTATACTAAGTTATTGTTGACTTTGCGGGGGGGGGGGGGGAGGGGGGAAGGCTTATTGCACAATGTTTAATAACTCCCAAAGCTGAAGATAACACTGCTCACACATTTTATGAAAATCTATTTTTTTCCTATTACAATTCTATCATTTCGGCTCATGGCAGTTTCATTATAAACAAACATCACATTTATCTAGCTATTGTTTTTTACATGTGCCAATGATGCTGAAACATCATAGAATACTCAGAATAATTTTACACAAGGTAACACTCCCTAGCCCCATATTCTTATAACTTTCTTCACAAGGACTCCTCGTTAATTGGTAAAAACCATTCACACCGAATGGAATGTAACTTTATTCTTTTTTTTTTTAATTTCACACACACAAAAAGCCCTTGTCATCTTTGACAGAAAACCAGAGCAGCTCCATTTCATGAATGACAGCACAATTAAAGCTAAAATAATATAAAAATAATTTGAAAAAAATCCCTTGTTCTGTACACTCTCAAATAAATCAAGAAAGATAAGTGACAATCTTTTCTAATAGCCAGAAAAATGTGTGTCTACTCAGTTGGGCTTTGCAGTTCAGTTCTGTGTAACCCACACGGTGTGCATATGTGTGTGGTCAGATGTATATAGTCTATGGAGATTAGAAGCCCCTAACCTGTTTATCTAGTTCTTCTAATTTTTAAGCTACTTGACGGATACAATTTGAGTACTACGGTATCACATGAAACAATGACTTTACATGATTGCTTCTTTGAAATACTAAGAACTTGTATACATTTATTTGGCTTGTAAAGGACTGAAATATTACAGAGAAAGTAATCTAACTTTACCTTTAAAGAATATGGCTCTTAAGAACTGATTCTCTGATCAGTTCTGATCCAGAGTGAATGACCTTGTTTGACTTCTGAAGCTAACTTGTATGGGGTCAATGGGCCAATTTTTTTTTTTTAATGGGTTTCAAAACTCGAGGATTTTCAACTGTCCCGGCCAAATGTGTTCCCCGGTATTTGCTCCACTTGACCAGAAGAGGGCACTTTAAACACCTCTACACCGCCGGAAAAGCAGGTGTGGCAGGTGCAGAAACACAGTGTTAACTCAATACTGCATGGAGTTCTGCAATTATTTATTTTTCTTGAAAGTCACAAAAAATATAAAATGTGTACCATATCACAGGTTTTTACATTGAAAGCTGTGTGTGTGTGTGTGTGTGTGTGTGTGTGTGCATATGAGTATGTGTGAATATATAGAGAGGAATATACATATTGCCTGTATTTATGGAATCTTGTTTTAGTCTGTCTTCCTCTTTCCTAGGATCCCTCTCTCCTGCCCCTCCCTCAGTGAAAGTGAATATTTTCTAGCCAGTAGGATTAATTTTCATATTATTTGGTTGTGGATTTGCCTTTTTCTTCTTCTTCTTCTTTTTAAAGTCCCTTTCCCCCTCCCCTCCCAAGGTTCTTTTTAAAAAAGTCTCAGGTAAGAGAACAAAGCTGAATCTCTTTTATCCTATGCAGTAATAGAAATCACTAGACTTCCATCGAAAATGCACTTGGACAAATTCTTTCTCATTTGGAACTGGGCAGTCATGTTTTGTTCCTCATTTTAAAAACCTGGTCAAAGCATCACACCCCAGTCGGTTTTTGCATACTCACTAGCCAAAGGACTGCACACAATTTCAAGATTGCAGTGGGAAACATCAAACTTGTCTCTTACTCATCAAGTCGTGGCTCATGGCCACTTAAAGAAACCTTCTAGATAACTTTTGCATTTAGCCTAACACTGTCAGCCTTTCCCAAGGAAAGTTTTCATTTCTGCCAAAGCGCTGGTTCTACGAGCACACCCCCCTGCACCTCCACCATTTTTGTCTTTTTCTTGTTGGCTCCAGTTTAGTGTTGAAAAAAGATTAGAAAGGATATAGAAATACTTTTTTTGTTTTGTTTTGTTTTTAGTAAAAGTCTTCTGTCCTTAGGGAAATATGACACATTAAATATTTTTTTTTCATAAAATTTGTTAATAACTGTCATTTGCCTTTTCGTTCTTTCTTTCATTTTTTCTCCTAGAGTTGACAGGTACGAGAGGGATGGTGTCTCTCAGCAGCAGTCCTTTGAGATGGAGTTGAACTCAGTGAGTCCTCACCATAAAAGGATCATAAACTTACTGGGTTAGATCAACCTAGTTACCCCTAAGCTGCCAAGTTTTGTTTTTAATTATTATTATTATTTTTAGCTGCACCATATATATGATTCCTTGTGCCATTTTCTTTTGTCTAGTTTTTTTTTTTCTTGATGACCCTGAGCTATGGCTTCCTTCTCAGTTCCAACACTATTCAGCCTTCCTGATTTTCCTCATTTTGCCGATGTAGGCCTCGAAGAAAAAATGACAGAAGAGCACAAAGTAGCTGAGGTACATGAGTGAGGACCAGATGACGTTCTGAACGTGAGAGTGGCACTGGTCTTGCTGCATCCAGGAGAAGACTAGATAGTTAACTACACAACCCATCAACATTTGTGTGATCTGGGACAAGGTGATGAACATGGCGAACTTCCGAGAGACCCGGAAACCCGCCGCCCTCAAGGCATAGTAGGAGTACATTACTGCATGCACTCCATAGTTCATGGTCATGAACCAACCACCTCCGGCAACCATGTCCTTATACGAGTACCAAGAATAGAGCAGCACAGTGATATGGTGGTACCAATGCAGAAAGATGAGTTTCTGTTTTCGAAGAATAATGAATATTGTATCTCCTGAAAGAAAGAGAAAAGGATACATGAGTGCATGACCATGAGAACAGCTTTATGGTTTAACAGAAGCCTCCTCTGAACATGTGAAAACCTGGAGAGGATCTTAGAGATCATCCAGTCCAAAGTGGTCCGGTGGATAGAATGCTGGACTTGGAGTCAGGAAGACTTGAGTTCAGATCCTACCTCAGATACTTACTAGCTGTGTGACCTTAGGCAGTCACAACTTCTCAGTATCAGTCTCCCAACCTATCAAATGGGAGGAAAATTAACATCTATGTTGCTAGGTTGTGAGGATCAAATGATATAATACATGTGAAATGTTTTGTAAATCTTAAGATGCCATATAAATGATAGATATTGTCATATAAATGATAGATACTGTCATCATCATCGTCATCATCAATGAAGATACATGTTTAGAGAAACTAAGCAACTTGCCTAAGGTGACTTAGGTTGTATAGCAAGTTAATACTGGAAGCCAGGAGCACAATTTAGATCTCCAAACTCTCAGTTCAGTGTACTTCCTATTATACCATGCTATCTCCTAGATGGCAGAAGAGAATGCTGGGCTTCAAGTCAAGTGTGACCGTGGATAAGTCACTTAACCTCTGCTTGTCTCAGGTTCTTCAACTATACAATGTGGATAAGAATATAACCAGGTTGTTGTGAGAATCAAATGAGATATTTGTAAAAGGCACATAGTAGGTGCTTAATAAATCTTTGTTTCCTTCCCTCCTCCCTCTCTTCCTTCCTTTCTTCCCCCGCTTCTTCCCTCCCGGTATCCACACTTCAATACTGACTTCATGCTAGGAATACAGCTGCTAATTGCCAAGGGGGTTGCCAAACAATGGTGAATCTATGTTGGAGAGTGAGGTGGTTTAATTAAAATGATCTGTAAAGTCTATTTCAGCTCTAATATCCAGTGATTTGCCTAGAAGTGGTAAGCAGTCATATGATGGCATGTGGCATGGTGGCCCTGTTAGATTTCATCAAAGGAAACCTCAATCAGTTCCTATAACAACATGTTCCTCAGGGAAAAAATCCATTGCTCCTGCTACAGAGAATTCAGAAACAGGAATGATATTTTAAGATCTGAAGTGAATCTTTGAAAACTTTATGGTACAGTAAAGTAAGAATTATGCTGGAAGTCAGAAGTTCTGGATTTGAATTCTGATTCAGCCATTAGCATTAGCAACCCTAGTTATGCGATTTCCTTTCTTTGGAACTCAGTTTCCTTTTCTATAGAATGAGGATGTTGAATTAAAGTATATCCAAAGTTCCTTCTACCTTTTGGCTTTAATTTTCTGTGAAGCTAGGCGGGGGATTCTGACACCATGGTATATTTATGGAAAAAAATACAAAAGATATAATAATATCTTATTATGATATATTAAGATATTATATATAAAATATAACAATAAATAATATATTGTTTATATTATATTATTTTACATATTTATGTATTATATTTTTGCTATGTAATATAAACATCATTTATATTCTAAATGAATAAAATAATAATAATAAATAAAAGATAAAAAAATAAAAAGATAAAATTCCATGATCATAATAAAGTCTTTCATTCCAGAAAGTATTCGTCTCTGTCAAAGGAAATTTCAAAAATTAATACACATACACACATCACATCAGATCAAGAAAGTCCCTCCGAAGGGAAACCCTACAAGGGCATTTAGGAGTATAGCTATACTTTGAGTAGTGTTAAGACAGGTAGAACCAAAATACAGTATCACTAGAATCAGAAAATTCTACATGAATTCTGGCTGGACTGCAAGAGGAAATTCAACTTAGGCCCATGCTCAGATGCTATTATTTATTATCGTTATTATTATTATTATTATTATTGCTGTTGTTCCTATGCCACTGTATTTCTTGCCATGGTCTCTGAGAAACTTAAGACACGTTCCGCAGCTTTTGTGATGTAAGCCCTTGGAAATCCAAACTTTGTCTGCTTCTACAGAAGGGAAACAGAGACCCTTACTTTCTGTGCTCATAGCCCATCAAGCTTTCATAGGCAAAACTGGCTAGAGCGAAGCTGAGTCAGAGTTTAAAAAAAAACAAAACCCAACAAGGGTGAACTCAACTTTGAGCGATGGGCCTCACTCAGAACAGATGTTTCCAAGTTTTCACAAAACTTAGTCTCAGCATATTTGTAGTGCAATTCAAACAGTAGGCACCCAGCAGATTTGGATACACAAAACAAGATTTCTTCCTTTCACTTGTTCTGATAAACTATAACCCTGTAATTCACTGAAATGAGCTCACTGTTTTATGGCTGAAAGAGAAAGCCTTTCTTGCTCTGAAGGATATTTAGTAAAAGCTGTAGGCACGAGGACTTTCGGGGGAAATGTGGTCCTAGAAATTAATATGGGAGAATGGCTGAATTCTTCTTTTTTTTCCCTTCTAACTAAATGATCTTTCTGATGAAAGAAACAAGGTAATTTATAAAGTGGGCACAAAATCTTGGATTAAGGAAAATATTACCTTTGAAGATCTAAAAAGAATAAATATCCCAAATAACTCAAATTGAGGAACTTTTTGTTAAAAAGGAGAATCTGAAAGTTCACAAAAGGAAAGTTAGCACAAAAAATTAATTTAAATATCTCTCATGAGAGAAATATTCTTATCTCTCAGAAGATAGGCCTGGAGCCTTGGGAACAGCATGGCACAGTGGACAGGGATTTGGAGTCAGAGTTGGAAACCTGGCTTTGCCATTTACTGCTTGTCTTTTCTACAAAGCAAGGAGGCAGGACACAATGACCCCTAAAGGTTCCTTACATCTCTAATATCTATGATCTTAGGAATAATATTTTATTTTCTATAACACAACCAATTTCCCTCCCTCCTCCATTTTTGAATCACCAGTTTGCATCTGGAAGGAAATCAAAGAATTCTAGAATTTGAAAAGTGGAAGGTACTCTTAGCCGCCATCTTGTCTAACCCTTACACAAAAACACCAATCTTCAAAGTATGCTTTGAGGGTCCCTAAGGTCCTTTTCAAGCAGTCTAGAAAATCAATGTTCTTTTCATGAAAATAATAAGATGTTATTTGCCTATTAAAATACTCTCCTCTTTTTTTAACTACAGATCTTTGAGAGGCTGGATTATCTTTAGAGACTTCAACCAAAACAATCTATACAACAGATCGAGTGCAGAAGCAGAGAGGAGAATACAGTGGTCTGACAATATTAAAGATATTTCACAAAAAATATCTAAAACAACGCTACTCTTCTCACTAAATACTTTGTTTTGAAAAATATAATTAATGTTAGCATTTTGTTTGTTATTGTTATTTTAAAATGAATGAATAAATATCTTTAAATTGTTTTAATCTTTAATACATTAAATATTGATGGAAATAATCCACATAAACAAAAGGTTTTTGGGGTCCTCGATAATTTTCACGAGTGCCAAGGGGTCCTAAGACCAAAAAGTTTGAAAACTACTACACTATAACACACCTAACAAAATCTTTGTGTTTTATTGATAATAATAAAATTTAGAGCTGAGAGGCCTTAGATAACATCTAGTCTATTTCCTACATTTTCAATGAAGTCTCAGAGAGATGAAATGATTTGTCAAAGGTCCTATACCATGGTTGTCTTAGCAGACCATATACATGTGTATGTGTATTCATAAATTTAGAGCTGGGACTTCAGAGATCATGTAATCCAATTCTGTCCCCCCCCCCCTTTTTTTTAACAAATGAGGAAACTGAGGTAATGGAAGTCAAATGTTTACCCAAGGTCATATAGGCAACTCCTTCTGCCAATGGAGGTTGGCATCTTTTCTGCAAAAATTCTTAGAGAACTGCTTGGGGCCACAGAGAAGTCAAGTGACTTAGTGTCCAGGGTCAGCTCTCCAGGATGTGTCAGAGAGCGAAGTTAGATTCCAAGTCTCCTGTATTCCAAAGTCAACTCTCTCTCCATTATGTGCCATCCTATCTTACACTGGATATTTATTCTAATATATGTGTGTGTATATAAACACACAGACAGTTAAGTGGTAAAGTGGATAGCATACTGGGCCCGGAGTGGGGAAGACTCATCTTCCTGAATTCAAATCTGGCCTCAGGAACTTACCAGATATGTGACCCTGGGCAAGTCACTTAACCCTGTTTGCCTCAGTTCCTCATCTATAAAATGAGCTGGAGAAGGAATTGGCAAATCATTCCAGCTCTGCCAAGAAAACCCCAAATGGGGTCACTAAAAGTAGGACACAACTGAAATGATTGAATACCACCACTACCACCACCAAAATAAAGTTTGGTAAAGGCATTCCATGACCCCACCCCTCCTTCCTCATTAGCTTACTGTCCCCCTCCACCACCACCACACACCCTTGCCCTTCAAGGATTATTTGGGCAGCATGTTCTTTCTGCATTGATCTAAGTGGGCTTTTGCAGAGTTTGGGAATGAGGAAATTCCTGACCACTCCAGTATCTTTGCCAAGAAAACCCCAAATGGGGTCAAAAAGAGTCAGACACAGCTGAAATGACTGAATACACATAGTAACAGTGTTCCAAAAGTTTTAGTGCAGTTTTAAGGTGTTAAACATCACTGAGATTTTTTCAGGACATTCTGCATGTTTGTTTTTAGAGACTGGAACATATCTATGAACGACATCTTTGCTGTGCCCACAACACCTATGTTACACATGGCTCCATCTATGGCTTTTAACGATTAGTCTGCCACGTGGATTACGGCTTCCAGTTTTTAAAAAATCTCATTCAGAAGTTCTGCAAGAATTAAGCAATGAAGGAGGCAGATGTTGCCCGAATAATCCCTGAAGGGTAAGTCCATGTGATGGGGGTGGAGGGGGACAGAAAACTAATGGGGGAGGAAGGGGGATGCCTTTGTCAAACTTTACTTTGTTTAGTTGTTTCAAACTCTCTGTGACCCCATTTGGGCTTTTCTTGGCAAAGATACTGGAGTGATTTGCCACTTCCTTCTCCAGCTCATTTTACAGATGAGGAAACCGAGGCAAACAGGGTGAAGTGACTTGCCCAGGGTCACACAACTACTAAGTGTCTAAGACTGGATTTGAACTTAGGAAGATGAATCTTCCTGATACCAGGTCCAGGTACTCTATCCACTGAGCCAGTCAGCTGCCCTAATAGGATTCCAGGTATATAAATACAAAGGTCTCTCTGGTACAGCCCCTCTTTGTGTCATATATATGCATGTGTGTATGTATGTACGTGCATGCGTGTGCATATGGGTGTGTATATAGATTTATTATTGGCTTTAGATTTTTTATCACAGTCATTTTTGGATATCCTGCCTCTGCCTTCAATATCTCCTCATTTCATAGATGAAGAAATAGACCCAGAGAGGTTATTTACCCAAAGTTACCTGAGTAGTAACTAACAGAGATGGAGGTTGAACTCTTTCCACTATTATCACGACTGCTTATTTTTTTCAACTGGCTTCTTGTCTGAAAAGGTTTACTATCCTTACTATCCGAATGTCTTCCTTTGAAAGAAAATATGGGTTCCCAAACCAAACAGTGGGGCGGCTAGATGGCATTGTAGATGGAATACTGGGCCTAGAGTCAAGAAGGCTCATCTTCCTGAGCTCAAATCTGGCCTCAGAAACTTGCCAGCTGTGTGACCTGGGCAAATCACTTAACCCTGTTTGCCTCAGTTTCCTCGTCTGTCAAATGAACTGGGGAAGGAAATGGCAAACCACTCCAGTATCCTTAAACCCCAAATGGGGTCACAAAGAGTTGGACAGGACAGAAAAACTGAATGCCGAAATTAAATATAGTCACATCATACGGAATATAATGGGACTATCATGTCCCTTTTTTCTAGATGCTGTATTTTCTTTGAATGCAGACTGAGTCAGCTTTAGTTTTATCGGAAGAAACATATCATATGACTATGGGAATGCTGTTCTCAGCATGTTGAATTCTACTGAGCTTGTGGTCTACTAAAACCCCCAGATTCTCTTCATTGAAGTATGCCTTTGCTTTGAGCTATCAGTTAGATAGCCTTTTACTGGAATTCAATTGACTTTTCACTTTTGTTTTCGACTCTGTGGAAGAGCTATGCAAATCTGGATAACTGTATTGCCTGAAACTGAATTTTATTTTCCCCTGCATGGGTTTACATTGCCAAACATTCATTTCAACACATCAAAGTGGTAAAAAAAAAAACAAAACTCGGGGGAGGACAAAGACATTGAGTACTTCTCATCAGTTTCTAAAAGGTAAACTATCCCCTCTTACCCAAGGCCTGGATTTTTGATGCCTACAGTCGAACACTCCAGGGACCAAACTTTAGCATTTATTAATGAGCACACAGGAGTATCCAAATGAAAAGCTTAATCCCCTAATCTGAATCAAAACTCCTGAGATGAAAATGTGTTTAGATGTGGAAACAGGTTTGTTTTTCATTTTTTCCTTGTTCTAATATTAGAACTGCTGCTAAAGGCCCTCAGAGGGTGAAGGCTGTATATTTTATAAGCCCCTCAAAATGTATGTTTTGACAGCATCAAATTCTGCTTTTTTTTTTTTTTTGACGTAACCTAGGCTATTTCATTGGCATAGGGCAGAATTGTCAAATCCATGGCCTGCAGGTTGCCTGTGACCCACAACACTTGCTAGAGGAGCCCAAAGTAGATTAAAATGTAGTTCCTATCTGATTTTAACGTGTCAGTGTACTAATTAAAAAAGAAATATATAAACACGTATAGTTTTCTAAGTCAATATGAGGCCTGCAGAGATCGTTATGTACTATGTAGTAGTGGTCCTCCCTTCTATTTGAGCTTGACCCACTGGTATAGAGGAAACTCATTTTTACCAATCTGGGTTAGTGCCTTCTCTGAAATTTATAGTCTGAGAGAGTTGGCTGGGAATACTGAGGTTACTTGTCCAGGGTCACTTGAGCCCAGCTCTTCTTGATCCAGAGGCCATTGCTCCCTTCACTGCGTAATGCTGTCTCTGAATTCTGTGTTATGTTCCATGTAAACACTTTTGCTTTAGAGACATAATGATATGTAATTATCTGGGAAAAGAGTGTGATAGATGGGCAGACAAAAGCAGAAAGGGGGGGGAGGGAGAGAGAGAGAGAAAGAGAGAGAGAGAGAGAGAGGGAGAGAGAGAGAGAAGAAAAGTACTTACCAAGTTCAGGTGCTTTGCTTAATACAAATGCATAAGCCCAAAATTTGCTGACAGGTCCATTGTAAAAGCTCTGATCACAAACTGACTGCTTCAGGCCTTTGGTCATCAAAATGTACACCATACAAGCACCAGTTCGAAGAGCACCGAATATACTTCATAATAAAAAGAGAAAAGAAACACAGTTCTAGAATTACGATTTCCTTCTTACAACAATCACATACACCAAAGCATAGCATCACTTGAAAAACCAGCCAACAATGGTGGGACCATGGTACGTGACGTGCTCCAAGACCTAGGAGGAGGATCTCAAAGTACTTCACAAATGAGCTCCCAATGCTATTTTTGAAGAACAGACGGAGCCTTCTGTATGCCTCTGAGGGGGTCATGCATTGAAGTTATATCGGTTTCTCAAGAAATAATAGCTAAGACTAGACGAACTCCAGAGAACCTTTGACTGACTTATTAGCTAGTTACTCAGTACTTGTAGCTGGAAGTTGTCGGAAGTCGCCTTTTACCCTGTGATTAAGTAACTGTTAATATTAATAGCTAGCAATATCAATAGTGCTTTAAGACATTTACAGTGCCGAGCACTTTACATAAATGATGACATTTGATAATTTGATCCTTCCTGATCCTTGGCCCGCCATCTCCTTCTCCTGCGTCTTTGCACTGGCATGGACCGATACTCATACCTGGAATGATCTCTTTCCTCACCTCTGCCTCTGAGGACCCCTAATTTCTTTTAAGTATCATCCCCTATATGAGGCTTCTTAATTTTGCGCAGTTGTTAGTATCTCTCCCTGGCTCTGGACAAATTATCTTATCTCTTTTTTGTACATATGGACATTGTGTCTTCCTAGGCCAGAATGTAAGCTCCTTGAAGGCAGGGACTGATTTACTTTTGTCTTTTATGTGCCTAACAGAGTCTGCTTTTTGATTGATTGATTGATTGACTGAGGAAAAAGAAAACATTTAGTAACATGAATTGTCCTACTGGTGTATCTCAAAGCAGGAAAGGACTTGAGGGTTGGAAGAAGTAACTTCCAGGACTTAAATATACATTCAAGGTGCATCAAGACTAAGAAAAAAAAGGTTTGCGTGCTGAAACATTCATGGAGAGAAACCAATTTGGCTGAGGAGCTGTCTTCTCCTACATGCGTGGAGAAGTCTTCTCAGCACTTGGGGTGATGGCTACATTTGGGTCACGCTGTGCTATTGGGAGTCAGCTCTTCGACGATCTGAGAAATGATGTGCCAAAAGGAGATGCCAGACTTTGCCTGGCTAATTAATCCTCTTCTTGCTGCTAGAATCATTTTAAGATGTTCAAGTGAACACTGCTACTGCTGACCACAGCAGTCTGTCCAGGGAACAACAGTAGTGGGGATTCTAGAACATTAAAAGCCCCAGGGAACAACTGCTGAATTGCACAGCCAGTCAGATGGATGCCCACTTAGGGAACGGAGCTTGGTCGTTCTGCTTTTCTTCCAATTTCAGTTCTAACCAGTATATGCTCAGCTTTCTGAAGATCATGAGGGAAAGGAATAGACATTTATTAAACACCTACTATGTGCCAGGCACTGTGGTAAGAGCTTTACAAATATTATCTCATTTGATCCTCCAACAACCCTGGGAGGTAGGTGCTATTATTATCATCCCCATTTTATAGATACAGGAAATTGAGGGAGACAGAAGTTAAATGACTTGCCCAGGATCACATAGCTAGTTAAGCGTCTGAGCTGTATTTGAACTCTGGGCTTCTTGACTCCAGGTTCAGTACTCTATCCACTGAGTCACCTAACTGCTTCTCAGCACAATAAATAATGGGCTATGTGTTAATTACTGCAGTACAATTAAGATGGGAACTCCTGTGCATAGCATCTTTTCCTTCAGTGTCTTGTAGCATCTCATGAAATGTGTACTGGAGAATATGATCAGCATATAGTTATGAACAATCATTCTACAGTTTAGAAAGTGCTCTCCTAATGAACAGCCCTATGAGGTAGGTAATGGGAATAATATTGAGATTCAGAAGGGAATTCCAAAATCACCCGGCTAAGTGTTGGTGCTCAGACACAAACCTAGGTCCTCTGACTTCAGGACCTTCTAAACCAGGGCTTCTTAAACTTGTCTGTTGGTGTTGCATGGCTTGAGGGCATGCACAGTGCAAAGTGCACATGCTTTGTGTTCAGAACCAAGGCTGAAGTAAAGTTGCCATGTAACACTGGCAGCGCTTGCCCGAAACTCCTCGGATTCATTTTGTGTTTGATTGTTAATTAATTTTTTGTCATTGCGCATTTAGAAACCTTTTACTATTGCCAAATTTTTTGCCACCCCAGTTGGGGTCATGACCCATCATTCAAGAAGTACTGCATGATTCTAACCTTTTCATAAAACAGTACTATAATAATTTTAAAACACCCTGTCACTTAAAGATAGGGACTATACCAGGGAGGTTTTTAAAAAAATTGATACAGGGAAATGCTGAATGAAGAAAGTCCCACAAGGTAGGTTGGCACCTTTTCTGTAACTAAGAGTCTTAGAGAGTTGCCAAGAGTCCTTAAGGTTAAATGACCTGTCCGGGGTCACACAGCCAATATATGTCAGAAGTAGCTTTTCCCGATGTTCCTGGCTTCAAGGCTAGTTGTTCTAGCCAGCACCAGAGTAGAAAAATTGGAACTATAATGAAATGGGTAGGCTCAGATTCTTTAAGAGTCTAGTTAAGGACTCAGATTTTTATAATCTAGCCAATAGTTCATAAATGTTCAGATTCCTTAATAGCTCATAAATGTTCAGATTCCTTAAGAGTCTGGCCAATATGATGAATCTTTAATAAACCTTGTCTTTGGCTGAAAGAAAGGTTGGGTTGAATTCATTTGGGCAGGACCTGTGGGTCATGATTTTGGGGTCCCAGCATCCCTCAACTTCTAGACCTCAACATACGGTTCCCTGACTGGGAAAGACCGCCTAATCCCAACTCTTTTCCAGCAAAGACTGGAAGGACATACAAAGGCAGATTCACTAATCAAAATTTCCCCATGGAGGCAAGAGCAACTTTTTGTGAGACCAGTGATCAAAAATGCTATTAGATCCCATTTGAATGATTACATGAATGAATTTTTAGTTTAAGAATCCAATAAAATGAGGAGGCAGAAGAGAGACATGGAAGAAAAAAATGAACACTGACTAAAATAAAATTATAAATCAGCCTGCCTGATCTTGGGGGAAAAAAAAAAAAGAAATGGGTACCCATTGATTGGGGAATGGCTGGTTCAATTGTGGTTCATGAATGTTACAGGATATTGTTATAGCATAAGCGATGACAAAGATACAATGACTACAACAAAGTATAAATGAAAAGATCACTTAATGGCAGCTGAATTATGGAGAAGCTGAAAAGACAATGAAAGATTCAGAGAAAAGATAAAGAAACCTTTCTCCCTCCACGTAGCAGAGAAAAGAGGTCCCACGAAGACAAACAATACATGGTCAGATGCTGTCACTCTCATGTATGTTCTTGCTTTTCATTGTCACTAAGAAGGGTCCCATTAGATGGGGAAGGGATTTTTGGGGGGAAGGGAAGCCTTTTTCTCCAGAAATGACTGTGTTGTACAGAAATAAGTTATCTAGAAAAATTATAAGGGGAATGGGAAATTCAGAGAAAAACGGGAAGGCATGAATGAGCTGACATAGGATTTTAAAAAAAAAAGGGGTACAATATGCATGATAACCCTAATGGTTTAAAGGAAAACACTATTAAAAGACATCAGAACTCAAAGTGGACATATCTAATCTTGGATCCAGAGAACTCGTTTATATTTTATTGTAGTCATTGTATCTTTATGAAACACATTACCACTTCACAATGGAGAGATGGTAGATTAAAGTCATAGATTTTGGTGCCTCTGTTTAGTGATAGGCATTATATCGATTTATTTTGCATAACCGTTTTTCTTTGTTATAAAAGAGGTTTTTATTGCATATACTGTCATACTTAGTTGATATGCTGGTTGGTTTTGCTGAACTCTTTCTTCCCCCTTGTTCTTTTAGCATCCTTTGTTATTATAAAGGAGGGAGAGTGATTAATGTGGAAATGAAGGTGCTGGGCACGGTGATCCCTGTTCCTGGAGAGATTGAGGCTGTGGGTCACTTGAGGTCAGGATTTCTGAGCTTCAACAGGTCTGTGCCAACATGCTGAGCCCTTGGGAGCAGAAGAACCACCAGACTGCCTAAGGAGGGTGAACCAGCCCTGGTCAAACGATCAATGATTTCTTGCTAAAGGTCTAACTCATAAGCGACCCTGGAAAAGGGAGGCAGTGAGTCTCAAGAAAAAAGAAAGAGAAAGAGAGAGAGAGATAGAGAGAGAGCGTGAGAGAGAATGCAAAGATGTAAAAGCAAAAGAGATTTTCAAAATAGATACTCATTGATTTAGAGAACGGCCAAATAAATTATAGTAGATGAATACCATAGACTAATGTTTCAAAAATGATAAATACGGTAAATGTAGAGAAACATAGAAAGACTTATATGGACTGATGCAAAGTGAAGGAAGTGGAGCAGGGAAAAGTAATACACATAGTACAACTGGAAAGAGCAACAACAAAACAAGTGAAATTGAACGCTGGGAAATTAACATGACTAAGCTTGGCCTCGAAGAAGAGATATGACAAGATACCTTCCTTGACATTTCTTTGCAGAGGTAGGGGACCATGAGTCCCCTATCATCAGACATTTTCAATATCACAGAAATACCAGCATTTGAGAATGAGAAGGTACCTCAAGGATCTTTTAGTCCAATCTGAGATTCTTAAATAGGAACCTCCACTGGCACATATGTTAATAACATGTATTTAATTTTTTTCTTTTGCTATAGAAGATGGAATTACTGGCAAATGACAATGACCTAAAAATAAAAATCATCAATAAAACCGTTTCTAAAAATAAAAATAAAAGTTCTCAGCAGAAAAAAAAAAAAACCGGGACTACTAAAATAACTGACCTAGATAATTTAAGGCAAAAAAAATTGTGCCCAGGAGAGTTGACATTCAGGTCCTTATCTTAACCAGACAACTATGTCCTTCTCTGACCTCAAGGAACGCAGGACTTCAAGAGCAGAGTCAGGTAGTGACATTCTGTCCCTGTTAAATTCACAAAA